GCGCTGGGCTGTCGCTGTCCAGCTACTGGCCGACGAAGAAGAAGACGATCACCCCTGCCCGCCGACCACTCCCGCTGCCCTCCCGAGCGGCCTGTGGCGTCGGACGACTCTCTCCCTGCAGCCCCTTGCGGCCTCGCGGCTCCTTTTCGTCTCGCCCCTGGTCCGAGTCGCTCACTCGCTCTGCCAGATGTATCAGGTCGCCTGTGAGTCGGTCCAAGTGAGTCGGCCGGCCCTCCTCTCCTCTCATTCTTCTAAAAAAAAGAAGAAGAAGAAAGAAGAAAAAAAAGAGGAGAAGAAAAGAAGAAAGGCTCGTTCTCTCCTCCATGGCGTCCCCGGACGAGGGATACGCCTGGCGCTATTCCGGTCCCTCGGTGCCCGTCATTTTCAATGGCACAAATTGGGGCGATTTTGTTTTTCCATATGGAGGTCCACATGGATGGGCAAATGTTGTGGGGCTACCTCACGGGTGAGCGGATCTGTCCTCCCCGTCCTCTTCTTCCCACGCCGCCACATACCCGCCAGATGCCGATGATGATGCCAAGAATGCTTTACTTGAGGCATTTGAGACCGAGATGGAGAGCTACCACCGATCTCTGTGTCTATGAGACTTGGTCACATGAGGAAAAATCTGCTAAGGCTATCTTACTTACGAGCATGGAGGTCGATCTCTCGTTATCCCTTAGAGGTCTTGCCACTTCACACCTTATGTGGGATCACCTCCGTCGCAGCTATTCTGAGATTCAGAACGTGGCGATGTACCTTCTTCACGTGTTGTTGAGGAGGCTCGGTTTTTGCCGCCTTGACTCCACGATTGAGGCCTTCCACCGTCGGATGATGGTGTCAGCATCGCTCGGACAGCTTTAGGCGCCGAGTTCTGCGGTGGTGGTACTTGTCGGTCTTTGTGGACCGCCTCATCGGGACCAGAGAGACATTCTTCGCCTTCACGAGTTTCTCTCTCGCTTCCGTCCCCGAGTTCGAGACCGTTCGAGCACCAGCTTGTTGACTCGTCGTCCGCGCCCATCGCTCTCGAGGCGATGCCTCGAAATTCTGAGCCGAGAGACACGTCTTGGCTGAGGTGTGACTGTGTTGTGCTCACCGCAGCCCTCCGTCCTAGCAGCCACACCTCCCGGTGTCTCTCCGTCTCACCCCTCTCTGTGGTGACGGGGGCACCTTCCCGTGTTCAAGTGGCTACTGCAAGCTCTATGGCCATGAGGAGAAGGATTGTCGCATGAAGCGCCATGACCGATCGAGGCGTCGTGGCGAGGCGCTCTTTTTAGGCTCTGGTGGTTCCTCTACTTCACAGAGCACTTGTTCCGTGTCTGCAGCCGGAGCAGGAGGTTCTTGCCTGCTTAAATCGCCTCACTCTCTGCAGCTCGGGCCTCCGGTCACGGACTACAGCTCGAGCTTCTAGTTCCGCTCCTCCTCCGTCAGGTATATCATCCCCATGGTTCCTCGACTCTGGTGCCTCTTTTCATATGACACCTCATGCCACACACTTGTCCTCTCTATCTTCCCCCGATCCACCTATTTCTGTTCGCACCGCAGATGGCACTTCTCTTCCTGTTGCTGGGAGAGGTGTTCTTTCGACCTCTTCGTTTAATGTTCCTACTGTTTCGCATGTTCCCAAGCTCACTATGCAACTCTTGTCTGCGGGTCAAATCACTGATCATGGCTGTCGCATAATCCTTGAGTCTGATTCTTGTTGTGTTCAGGATCTCCGTACGGGCCTTTTGGTGGGAACTGGGCCTAGGTGTCGGGACTCTCAACGCCTCTGGGAGCTTGATTGGTTGCGTCTTCCTTCACCCGTTTTGGCTCCCACATCCCCCAGTTCTCCAGCATCCGTGTCAGCTGCTTCGTCTACCACATCTTTTGCGCAGTGGCATCGGCGTCTTGGCCACCTCTCTGGTTCTAGATTGTCCACTCTTGTTGGTAGTGGTGTGTTAGGTTCTGTTTCTGGTGACACTACTCTTCATTGTATGGGTTGTAAACTTGGCAAACAGTTGCAACTCCCCTACCCTTCTAGTGAGTCTAAGTCCTAGAAACCTTTTGATCTTGTTCACTCTGATGTATGGGGTCCTGCACCTTTTGTTTCAAAAGGAGGTCAATCATATTATGTTATTTTCATTGATGACTATTCGAGATTTACCTGGATTTATTTGATGTCTTCTCGTGGTCAATTTCTTTCTATTTACCAGCAATTTGCCACCATGATCCGTACCCAGTTCAACTCTCTCATTCGAGTTTTTCGTGCGGATTCTGCTGGTGAGTACATCTCCACTGCTCATCGTTCCTACCTTGCTGAGCAGGGTACTCTTGCCCAATTTTCATGTCCTGGTGCTCATGCTCAAAATGGTGTTATTCTTTGGCGCAAGCATCGCCACACTATTGAGACCGCTTCGTGCTCTCTTGATCTCTTCTATGCTTGCTCCTCATTTTTTTGGGCTGAGGCGGTTTCTACAGCTGTTTTTCTTATAAATCGCCAACCCTCTACTTCTCTTCGGGGTTGCACTCCCTATGAGCGTCTTTTCTGCACCCTCCTTCCTATAGCCATCTTCGTTGTTTTGGGTGTGTCTGTTACGTCCTACTTCCACCTCGTGAGCGCACCAAACTCACTGCTCAGTCTGTTGAGTGTGTTTTCCTTGGGTACAGTACGGAACATAAGGGTTATCGCTGCTATGACCCTGTTGCTCGTCGGATGAGGATTTCTCGGGATGTCACCTTCGATGAGTCCCGGCCTTACTATCCTCGTTCCCCTTCCGGTTCTTCTGGTACCACTGAGTCCCTCTCATTCCTCACTTTACCTGAGTGGTATCTTCCGCTGTCGTCTCCATCCTCTTCACCACCTCAGGCATCTTTTACTCCGCCTCCACCATCACCACCTACTTCTCCATCTTCACCACCTCCTACCTCTCCACCACCAGTCCCTCCTCCACCATCATCGTTCATGGTCCTTCCCGTGAGATCACTCACTACTACACTCGTCGTCGTCCGCGCCTGCGCGTCCACTTGACTCTTCTCCGTCCGTCCCCTGGACCTCATCCTAAGTCTCCTCCTCGCTATTCTCTTCGTGGACATGCAGCACCTTTCATCCTCCCGATCGCTTTGGCTTCACTGCTGCCGTCTTTGGTGAGCCCACGACCTATCGGGAAGCTGCTGCTCATCGAGAGTGGCAACATGCTATGGCCGAGGAGATTGCTGCCCTAGAACGTCTCGGCACCTGGGATCTTGTTCCTTTGCCACCTCACGTCACTCCTATCACTTGCAAGTGGGTGTATAAGGTAAAGACCCGCTTCAGATGGCTCTCTTGAGCGCTACAAGGCTCGCCTTGTGGCACGCTTCTTCCAGGAGCAAGGTCGTGACTATGAGGAGACCTTCGCTCTGTCGCGCACATGACTACTGTTAGTACTCTTCTTGCGATTGCTTCACCTTACGTCGATGGTCGATATCCCGATTGGATGTCAAGAACGCCTTCCTCAATGGCGAGTGAGAGGAAGTCTATATCAGACCACCTCCGTGATACTACTGCTTCTCGATGGCACAGGTTTGTCGGTTCATGCCCGTTCTCTCTCTGACCTCAAGCAAGCTCCTCGGCCCGGGTTTGAGCGTTTCTCCTCTGTTGTCATCGATCTTTGGTTTTACACCAAGTGATCATGATCCCGCTCTTTTTGTTCACACTTCCCCTCGTGGTCGCACCTTCTTCTTCTCTATGTCGATGACATGATCATCACGGGCGATGATTCCCAAGACATTGATTTTGTGAAGCGGCGTCTCAAAGAGACATTCCTTATGTCCGATTTGGGTCCCTTCACATTTTCCTTGGTCTTGAGGTCACCTCCACATCCGATGGTATCTTTCTCTCTCGGGAGAAATATACTCGGGACCTCCTTTCTCGTCTTGCTCTCACTCACCGATCACCGCCTTTGTTGATACTCCTATGGAGATTGGTGTTCACCTCGACCCCATGATGGTGTACCACTTGATCCTACTAGCTATCGTCCGACTTGTTGGGAGTCTTGTCTACCTTGGGATCACTCGTCTGACATTTCTCACTCATGCATATCTTGAGTCGGTTTGTCTCAGCTCCTACCCACCTCCACTATGCTCACCTCCTTCGTGTTCTCATGATACTTCGTGGAACTATCTCTCGCGCTTTTCTTCCCTCGTTCTAGTTCCCTTCAGCTTGAGTAGTGAGATCACTATGATCGCTACTCTCTCTCTGCGCCTATTGTGTTTTCCTTGGCTCCTCCTTGATTGCACCAAGAAGCTAGTCATTGCTTTCTCGCTCAAGTCTTGAGGCCGAGTGCAAGCGTGCTATGGCGATCGTGGATCAATGAGGTGACATGGCTCTGATGGCTTCTTGAGGATTTTGGTGTGCCCATCGCACCCACTCCTCTCTCTTTCCGACAAAGACCGGTGCGAATTGCTCGAGACCCAGTCAAGCATGAGCTCACCAAACACATTGGCGTTGATGCTTCCTACATGAGATCGCAGTGCATGATCTGGTTGTGGCGGCTCCACCATGTGCCTTCAGAGGTTCAACTAGCCTTCTTCACCAAGAATGATCATCATAGATTCTACTCTCCAAACTCAAGATCCACCATGAGTTTGAGGGGGGTGTTAGATGTATAGGAGGTGTATATGTTTTCCCTCTACTTGGAGGGCTTCTTTGCATATGTACATGGTGTATACTTGCCCTCTTGGGCCTTGCAATAGGGCTGATCGGTCATCTTCTAACATAAAGAACGATACATATGGTCAGTTGAATAGGAAACAATTCAACAATACACATACAGTTGGATAAAAATTTCAAACAACGTCAATAACTGACCAGATTCCCTATCTGGACCATCTGGTTGACATATGTACAAAATGAAGATGAAATACTACTCTATATATCTACGTATGAAAGAATTAATAATCTCAATTCTTGAAAGAATAAAAGATTAGATCCCTAATCTACTACACTGGAAGTACAACTTCAGAAAGTCTGGCACAGAGCTTCAGAATGTCCGTGTTGGGTCAGAGACCTGGACGATCTGTTGGTCCAGATGGTTCATGCATGGCTTCCCCTCCGCATCGATGTCCATCAGTATCGTGTCACCAGGCTTGAACTCGCCAAAAAGAATCGCTTTGCTGATGACATCCTCAATAATATTGGTGACAGCTCTCCTCAGAGGCCGAGCCCCATAGCTCTTGTCATAGCCTTCTTGGCAAATCAGGTCCTTCATTGCATCAGACACCTCCAAACCTATCCCAAGGGCCAAAAGTCGGCCCTTGACTTCCTTTAGGATGATATCAAGAATGGCCAGCATCTGCAAATATGACGAGGTTATTACCATTAGCATCTCATGTGCTCTGAGGTTAGCACAATAGTTTTATTACTTAAACTATGAACTTCATACAGCCAAGTGGCTAATGCCATGGAAAGGGCTATGAATTATCAGTAAAACTACTTCAGAGCAAAATGTAAAAGAAACAAACCTGAGTCTTTTCCAGAGGACGGAACACAACCATCTCGTCAATCCTATTGAGCAACTCTGGACGGAAAAATGCCTTGAGCTCTTCCATTACTAAGGACTTCATGGCGAAATATGAGCTTGACTCGGTATCTTCCTTCAAGAAACACATGCTCTGTCTTCCCTTTGAAATTGATGTCGAACCAACATTCGAAGTCATGACAATCAACGTATTTTTGAAGGAAACCCTACGGCCCTGCAGTTCACACAAGGTCCCATTGTAAATAAAACATGTTCAGAACTTAAAAATGATCAGAAACTACCTATGTTACATCCTAAAACTATGCAAGATTACATGGAGAGGCTCAGGACTATTTAAGTTTCTAAAAATATATGGTATAGAGTGGCATAATGATTTATAAATTGCATTGATATTTAATATGAACAATCATGTGTTGAATGACACTTCAAATAGCTTGTATATTAAATAAATTGTAGTGAAAATAATGAATTCTAACTGTTTATTATAAGTTTCCAGGGATAGGGTTTGTCTCCTATGGTTCAGTAACTCCACTATCCACTGTTTAAAATCTATTGTTGCATGTAACAGGATTCACTGATCTATTATTACCTGTGAGTCTGTCAAATGTCCATCCTCAAAGATTTGGAGAAGGATGTTGAAAATATCAGGGTGAGCTTTCTCTATCTCATCCAGCAATACCACGGTAAATGGTTTCCTCCTGACTGCTTCTGTCAAAGTACCAGTTTCACCATACCCAATGTACCCTGGAGGAGAGCCTATGAGCTTGCTCACAGTGTGCCTCTCCATATACTCGCTCATGTCTAACCTAAGCATAGCAGATTCCTATTTTGAAAACAAAAGCAAACATCTTATCAGGCTGTATTCCATTTAATCAATCATAAGCATTGTGCAAATAATAACACAATGGTCAGAATATGATTGGCTTACCGATCCAAAATAACTAGCTGCTAGAGCTTTGGTGAGCTCTGTTTTACCAACTCCTGTTGGACCACAGAAAAGCAGCGTAGCAATAGGTCTGTCAGGGTCATTAAGGCCAACACGTGATCTCTTCACTGCACGAGATATGGCCACAACAGCATCATCTTGGCCAATGACACGTTTTCTGAGCTCGTCGTCTAGTCCTACTAGAAGTTTTCTATCGTCGGCAGTCAACTGCTGCACTGGTATCCCAGACCATAATGAGGCAACTCTTGCAATTTCCTCTGTCCCAACTACAACTGGTCTGCATTCAAAATGCTCTTTGGTGAGAAGATATGTAGGGCATGAGATTACCTTGTAAGACATGTTGACAGATAAAACTTACTCATCAGCTGAGAGTGACGAAGCAGATGTTGACTCAATATTGTCTCGACTTGGTGCTTCAACGTTAGCACTACCACTTTCTTGAGCATTCTCGTTTGGAGAATATTTTGCCTTGTTAGATAACACCTGAGTAATCAAAGACAATAATATTAGATACTTTTCTCACTAGATGGACCAAAAAGATAAAATCATATAAGCAGTGCATAATTTTTCATTACCACTTCATGCATGGCCTGAGCAGCTCTTATCTCTTGCCAGTATTCATCTGGTGATTTCAAGAGAATTGAAGACTGTTAGTCGCTAAATTCTCACTCTTAATAGTAGGAGAATTCTTACTCTCATCGAGAGAGGATGACACTAAGAGTTGGGGCAATTTTCTTGTCTATTTCTCACACAAACTCACACAAATGCCATGCCAACCTGAGGGGTTGGGGTTACATATTTATAGGCTGCTAGCCAGCCAAGCATATGCCAAGATGCTAGTCTAAGATGCTAATATGCTGTCCTAGCTAAGATGCTGTCCTCTAGTCTAAGATGCTGTCCTCTAAGATGCTGTCCTGCTGTCCTCTAGTCTAAGATGCTGTCCTAAAAGCAGAAAAACAGCCACAAGGACCATGTGAGCAGTACAGCCCCACAAAGACCACACATGAGACTTATCCATCAAAGACTGCCCTTCCTTCTTCCTATTAAATGATTCCATCCGAGCTCTACTTCCAGCCTCATCAATCAGATCAATAGCCTTATCAGGAAGTTGTCTGTCAGGAATGTATCTTGCTGACAAATAAACTGCTGCATTGATGGCTTCCAATGTGAATTTGCATTTATGGTAAGTTTCATATTTCTCACGAAGACCCAGTAATATCTTCACAGCATCTTCCTGCAGAAAGTTTCAAAAATGGTTAAGAGAGAAATTTACATGTTAAACTACCACACTTTCATAAGAAGACAACCACAGTACCTGACTAGGCTCATCTACTAATACTGGCTGGAAGCGGCGGGCCAAAGCCTTATCCTTCTCAAAATGCATCCGGTGTTCATCTAAAGTTGTAGCCGCAATGCACTAAAAATGCAAACAAATATTGTCCATAAGATAGGAAATATGATAAGGTATGATTTTCAGTACACAGAACGAGTGCGCTAAGCAAGAAATCAGATGAATCTAATACCTGCAGTTCACCTCTAGCAAGTGCGGGCTTCAGCAAGTTGCCAATGTCAAGACCAGAACCCTTACCCTTTCCAACAGTTCCAGATCCAATAAGATTGTGAACCTCATCGATAAAAAGAATAACATCGCCTGCATAAAGTTCTTATGATTTTTAATATTCATTCATGACCAGGTGCAGAAGCTCCGTATCTGGTAACATCTCAGAATGCACTACTGACTGACCTGCTTCCCGGACTTCACGGATTATATTAGTAACCCGAGACTCCAGTTCACCCCTCTCCTTTGCACCAGCAATAAGTAGACCAACGTCCAGTGACAATATACGCTTTGCCTGCAAATAATTTAAGTATGAATACCACTTATCTGAAAGCAGATCACAAATGCATAACTTTAGATCCATCATCACTGGCAAGTCAAGCTGAAGCTTACCACAAGGTAAATGGGGACATCTCCATTTGCAATTCGAAGAGCCAGCCCCTCAGCAATTGCAGTTTTGCCAACACCCGCCTCACCCAAAAGAATAGGGTTGTTCTTCGTTCGTCGGCATATTATCTGAACTACTCTTTCAATCTTGTCTTCACGGCCAATAATAGGATCAATGAAACCTCCACTAGCTTGTGTGGTCAAATCCAAACAAAATTGATCCAGTGCACCCTTATCTGAAAAAAGATAAATAACGCAAGTGTTCATTGAGGTTTTACTTGTCCTACAGTAGAACAAACATGAGTGTAAGCTTTGACTGAACTTCTAGCTCCTGACCTTTCTTTTTAGTCAAGGACTGGGAGAAGGCAGATCTTCCGGTTCCAGCAGGGGCTTTCTTTGGGACTTTGAAAGACGATGGTTCGGCAGGTTCTCTGCCATCTTTCGCAAGCTCCGCTTGGAGACGGTCGACCGCAACTGATGCTAGGCGACTGGGATCCGCTCCCAAGCTACAACAATCGACAATATGCATCAATGAGACCCAAACAACGAAAGGACGAGAAGATAACTAATATCATTTTTTGTTTTGATGAACCTACCGATCACACCATCATGGTACTGCAATGAAATTTATTTTTGCCAAAATAAACTCTATAGCTAGAATTGAACACGTGTAGTGACAAATTAGACAATGGCCACCGCAAGGGGGTAATGGCAATATCCTATCTGTACAACTAGATGCCAAACTTCCTTTGTGCTATGCTGTAATCAGACAGACAATGGTCTAAGCATATAACCGTACTACTACATTTACTATAGGCGGTAATGTGATCAATAAGTCAATGTCATCGATTGCAGTGGATCTGGAAATCAGTTAATAATGGAAAACAAATAACAGAACCTACCTCCTTAGGAGGTTGTTGGTGGTTGGATCGTCGAGGGTGAAGAGCGCGATGGCGAGGTGCTCAGGCGAGATGAAGCTGGCGCCCATGTTCTTGGACAGCACGACGGCCACGTCGAACACCTGCTTTGCGGTCGCGGAGAAGGGCACGTCCGTGTCGAGCCCCGATCCGGGCCTGGACGACGACGGCGCGGCGGCCGTGTCCGCGTCGTCCCTGGCGGCAGCGATGCCGCGGCACGCCTCCCGCGCGCGCTCGATGTTGATCCCCGACGAGAGGAAGCCGCCCGAGGAGCGGTCCTCCGCGACGAGGCCGAGGAAGAGGTGGCGCGGCGCCACGGCGGGCTCCCCGAGCCCCCGGGCCTCCCGCTGCGACAGCACCACCGCCTTGACGGCCCGCTCCGTGAACCGCTCGAACACCGCCCTGACGACGACTGCCCTGCGCGCCCGGCCCCGCCGCGGGGCCGTCCTGGCCGCCGCCGGGCGCGGGAGCTGGTGCGCCAGCACCACCGCCCTCCCGAACCCCGCCGCCGCGCCCCACCGACCCGCCGGCGCCGCGAGCCTCCGGGTGGCGCCGCCGGTGGCCCCCCGCGAGGACGGACGACGACGAGGTGGAGCAGCAGCACACCTCCATCGCTACGGACAACTGCTTATGCTTTGCTTAGAAGAAAGCGGTTAATCGCACGCTGGCTACGCGTCGAGAGAGCGACGCACATGAACTACTCTAGTCTAGGAGTAGTAGGCTAGTAGGAGTAATCTGCTTGGAGGCGGGGGAGCGCGGTATTTATACCGCGCGGCGCAGGTGGAGGCGCGAGCGGGCGGGATTGCGGGAGGGCGGGAGGGGAAGGGGAAGAGGAAGGGGAAGGAGGAACACGAGTCCGGATGCGTGGGGCGAAACGAAAGGGGTCGGTGGTTTTGGATGGTTCATCCCCCGCCCGGGCCTATAGATGTCCAACGGGCCGGCTCGGCCTAGCACGGCACGGCCCGATGGGGGTCGGGCCGAGAAGGCATGACGTGCCCTGCGGGCCGTGCCACCATGGGCTTCGTGTCTGGCCGACAGCCCAGGCACGACCTGCTAGGGCGTTTTTCGTGTCGGGCCCGCGAAAAGCGGCTAATCCAACAGTGCGGGCCGGCCAAAGGCCCACTACACCGAGTCACCGAGAGAGAGAGAGAGAGAGAGAGGGGAGGCCAGTAGGTCAGGATAGGACGCGACAGACCACCTCCTCCTCCATCCCGACCTCTCCGCACCTCGACTTGGCTAGATCCATGGAGGATGAGCGATAAGGAGGCTAGATCCACAGCAGAGGAGGCATAGGGAGGAGCAAGAAGCGTGGCGGTGAGGGAGGAGGTAGCCACCGTCGGCGGCGGCAAAGCAGAGGCGATGGCGGGCGGTAGCCCTGTTGATGGCTCATTACTGGGGCCATGGAGGCGAGTCGGGAGAGTGCGGTGGCCGGTAGGGCGGCGAGTCATGCACTGCAAGGGAGAGAGAGAGGGGGGCGGAGGCGACGTGCTTGAAAGCGAAGTCACGATGCCGACTTCATGACCATGATCATGCGGTGAGGGGAGGCACAAGGGTTGGAGTGGAGGTGGGAGACTGGGAGGTGGCGGCAGGAGGAGATGAGCCCGCGGCGGCGCACCCCGCCGGCGAGTCGCGAAGAAGAGAGGGAGCGAGCGAGAGCGGGGAGGAGGCGAGGCGAGGGACTAGGCGAGAGCCGAGAGAGAGCAGAGTGCGGCGGCGGGGGAGGGAGAGGGTAGGCGGTGGGGTTAGGGTTCGGCCGGGGGTGGGAGCGTGCTGCGGCTACGCGGGGCGCGAGGGCGCGGGGCCATATGAGGAGGGGGGAGGCGGGGACGCTGGGTCGGCCGCGCTGGGCCGCGGGGAAGGGAGGAGTGAGGAGGGGGAGGGGGGAGGCCGGGCCGCTGCCGGGCCAGCTGACGCAGGGCGGGCCGTGCCGTGCTAGCCCACGGGCCTGAGCAGCGGCCCAGGCACGGCCTGCTCCCTCGGGCCGGGCCAGCCTGGACCCGCATGTCGCCGGGCCGGGGCCGTGCTCGTGTCGGGCTAAAAAAGCGGGCTTCGTGCCATGCCGTCGTGCCTCGGGCTGCATGAACAGCTATACCCGCGCCTCAGGGTCCTCCGTTTCTAACGCGCGCCGAAACGAGCACCGTCTCCCGTCGGGACTCGTTGTTAACCATGCATCCTGCGTGGTGCCTACAAGTTACAGCAATCAGCTCACTTCCTGCTGGCCACGATCGTGTGACTGTATCCAGAACACCACGATCGTCACCATTCCTTGGAGGACAGGGAACGCCACAACGATTGCGGTGCAGAGCAAAACAAGGCAGGGACGGGTCGACACGAGTACATGCTGTGCTCTTACTCTCCCCTGACCCTGATGAACCACAGAGGCCACAACAAGCAAGTGACAAATTGCTACTGCATCTTCTAGCTCCCTCTAGTTTTGGGTCACCTCTTGTTTTGCTTCGAAAGGGGGAGACTTTCAGCGACGACGAACCAGTCAAGTAGACAGGCACCAGCTGTGTGTACACCAAACCGTGAATGAAAGAAACAAAGAAGATAGAAGTGGCCACGTGTGTGTGCCTTCCGAGAACGGGCTCGGGCGCTTTCAGGCTTACGGAAGCATGTATGTACAGTACGAAAACTGATCCGTACTTGGGCCACACGTGAAGGTGCAGTAATAAATAGTAACTAAGGGCACGTTTAGATGGCAAATTTTTTTGCAAAATGCACTGTAGCACTTTTTGTTGTTATTTAACAATTAGTGTCCAATCATAGTCTAATTAGGCTTTAAAAGATTCGTCTCGTGAATTTCGTCTAAAATGTGTAATTAATTTTATTTTTTATTTATATTTAATGCTTCATGCATGCGTCCAAAGATTCGATGTGACGAAAAATCTGAAAAATTTGGCAAAATTTTCTGGAACTAAACTGGACCTAAACAAATACTGCCCGAGAGGCCTGAAAGCGCCTTGAGTCCGTAGGTCGGTAGGTGGTCACTAAACTTCTTGTATTTACTCTTACTGTTTGTCTTATAATCCGTATTTTTTAGCTTATTTTTTTAATCAGAACAGTATTTTTCTCTTCCAACAAATCGGTCGGAACAGTGTTTCGTCTTGTTTTTGTTAATGATCACTAGAATACGCTACTAAGCCTGTCGTCATCTATTTACTCATCACATGATCAAATTGTCCAATGATTAGAGAACAACTTCACGGCAGGCGCATTTGCACACGGAACGCAACGCCAGGCATGCACTTGCGTGCGGAGGAGGGCGAAAGAGAAGGGAAGCCTTTCCCTGCACGACTTGATGCTTTGCGGCTTTGCGCTCACACTGCTCCCTTCAACGCCAAGAGCACAGTTTCCCGCTTTTCCTGGCGGATGACAATGCGCCTAGTTCCGTTTCAGTCAGTTCATTGCTTTGCTTCCTACTCGCGCCATTGACTATAGTACTATATACTTTTCTTCGAGATATTTTTCGTAAATAAAGGTCTGGCAATTTTCTGATACTCCTCGAATCATCAGGTGAGCTGAATCCATTCGTGGCAAAGCCAGGATTCAGATACATAGGGTGTGTTTAGTTGAGTAGTCAACCCCTAGCCTGGCTCTCTGGAGCCAATTTTGATCTGTTTAGTTGCCTGGAAGTGGGCTGGGACCTAGCTAGGGCTCGCCAGGATTGAACACCCAAATCGGTCGTTCTCCTGGAGCCTAGCTTGGGCCAGCCTCTCTTCTCTATTCGGGTCACCTCTGTGCGGTGCGAGCGCTCCTCACCTCCTTGCTCACGCACTGCCACTCCTCCTCGGCAGCGTCGCTCCTCCCGCCATGGACGCCAGCTCGGCCGAGCAGACCCTGCCCCGGCCCCCTCCTCACCGCCATCCCTGCCCGCCATGGACACCAGCTTGGCCCCGCCGCTCCTCCGCGCCTCCCATCTCCGCGGCCTGACTCGAGGAGGACGATGGCACTCCGGGCATGACCGTGCCTGCCCCCGGATCAGCCTCGCACTCCCTCCTCCCCTGCTCCTCCTGTCCTCCTCCCCTGCTCCTCTCTACCGACGGCGGCCCTGCTCCCCATCCCCGGCTCTGCACGAACACGCCCGGCGCCGGTGCCGGGTCCGGGAACGACGGCGCGCGATCGAGGTCTAGGGCCATGAGCTGGTGGAGCCGGTGGTCAGCGTGGGCGACACCAGCAGCGGGCACGGCGGCCACAGTGTCGGGCGCCTCGCCGTCGCCGCGGAGGAATACGACACACGCGAGGCGCCCGCGGTGCGTCCAGTTTCGGCGTCCCCTCGTTTTTTTCCTTTTGATTTGATATTTGGTGGTGAACTGGAGATTGATGTTATGGGTAGTGGAGGATTTTGTGGTGGTGATGCTGCAAGCCATGGGAGCAGGGATGAAGCAGAGAGCCGCCACCGGTCGCCATCAAGATGAACAAGGTGAAGGGGGTAAGGTCACCATTGTAGAGAAGAGGTAGCAGTACCAACTAATACAGGCATCCAAACAAAAACTAACTTAGCCAGACTTAGCTAGCACATGACAACAAAACATTACTAGGATGGCTTGACTTCGATAGGCTAACTCAAACCTGGCTTTTTTTCTAGCCAGGCTAGGTAGAGCCACACAACCAAACACAACCATAGAGACCAACTCAGCTAGTGTCGACATAAATTATACGATACTGCTGTCTAATATTGATGTTAGCTTAAAAATTATCTACTTTGATGCTACCTTTAAAAAACTATAATAAAATCATCTTCAATCTCTCTGTCTTATAAAAATACTAAATAACTAAATTAAAGATAAAAAGAAAAAAAAGAATATTGTTCACAGATCAATGGTTCACATCATATTTATTTTATTTAAACACTTAGGTCCCCCTTTGAAACAGGAATAGAAAAAAAATACAGAAATATGATAGGAATGTATATACAAAACATAGAAAGTTTGTTGGAACTAGTGTTTGGATGAGTGTAGGAAAAAGTGCAGGAAATAACTATGTGTGTAAATCCATACTGGAGGTACTGACTTCTTTAGCGAGGCAAGCTCCTTAATTACATGTGAGCTAGTGCTATACTATCATATCCAATCTCTATAATTTTGATGTGTACAGTCTTTGGCTTGTCATATACCTCAATCCTATGCGCACGTGTTAGAAAAATGAGATCGGAGTGGATGTGTTTCTTTCCCATGTTTCTCCCGTGAAATAACTTCTAAAGGATTTTTTCCACCAATTTCCCTACGCCTCAATCCTGCCAAGCAAAGGGCGCAACATTGTCGATTCCTATAGGAACTAAAATCCTACGTTTTTATACAAACTTTCTACGTTCCAAAGGAGGCCTTTACATTAGACAATCAAAGGATGTATTTTAGAAAAATAATCTAAAACTAGTTGAGAAGGCTTATTTACTTATATGGCTCCGTTCGGCTTGCTGAATGTTGGCTAAAACTGGCTGAAAAACACTGTTCTGGCTGAATTATTGTGAGAGAAAAATACTGTTACAACTGAAAAAACAAGCTGAACAAGTCGAATATGGGGTAAGCCGAGAACAGGGCCTAATCTCCCCTAGTGAGTAGAGGGAACACGGAACTAATAATAAATACTAATGAAAATGTACAACATATCCC